CTTTCTCTTCTCTCATAGCTTCGTTCCTTCGCCCCGTCACCCACCGACATGATTACCGTGTGAAATGGGTCTTGACGCGTATTCAGCCACAGAAGCGAGAGATCGTTCATTAGCGTTGATATCGATGGTACACCATTCCTTTTACTGCTATCGGATATGTACAGCTGAGCAAATGTCATTGATTAATTAGTTAAACAAATGAATTTCACGCGACTAGGTAGAAAAATTCGAGCGTAGCGCCACGTTCAGACTGATGTATTAGTTTTCCGTTAAGAGTCTATAGATGATCCACGAGATAGAAGCTTAAAACGGAAAAACAATAAATTGCCAATAGATCTTGAAGATTTAAACTAGGTACAACATCTCTATTGCCAGAGGATTCGGTCTCTCTTACAACACTCCGGACACTCCGGCGTATAGCGAGGTAATGTGCACAAGAGCGACATTGCTTGAGCCATTAATGAATATTTATTGTGCCCTAACTCAAACTTAACGAGCTTTTTTCCGTACATAGACGTTTTGTCCCTTCATTCTCCAGCTCTCTCGTGCCTTCGCCTTATCCAACATATGTGTACGAGCTGCTCGCGCGAGTCGTAAATTATTTATCGAATTTAATTACCTAGTGCTCTCACATTTTTTATAACCTACCGTTTGAAATATTTTACAGATTAAGTCTTCGTTTGCGCGAGAGTGGAAACAAGTCCTATACCCCCTGTAGCCACGCGCTCTCCCGAGGCATGATCCCCGTACACTTGCGAATTATCGACCGCTCGACGACTTTTTTATCTTACTTTTAATTTCTTGTTCTCTTATTCGACGGTAGCGTCAGCGAATTTCTTAAGGATGCATAATTTTGCATAATACTGTGCTCGGGGTAGACCGCAAGAAGGAAAAAACGAGAGCGAACGAAATTTTCACGTCTTCTTCTCAGCTCCTCGCCTTTCCCGCGCTTCAGATAATGATATACATGTATGCATGCATATGGTACCCTACAAGATCCTCCTCAGAGTGAGGAGCGAACGCGTGCGACGCGCCTCCGCATGAATTTCAGTTGAGGGCGTAATTTTATTTTCCAAAGCGTATTATGCAGACGCCCGCGGCCGCGCGCAAGCCCGAATTGTAAATTAAAATTTTGCACCGTTAGCGCCAGACCTAACGGCATCTGCATAACTTAGCTAATTACCAAATAAAAATTAAGCAAACATCACGGACTTCGTTGTCCTGTCTTCCTATTCCCTATCCACGGATTGCTTGCATCTGAGCTTTGCAACCTTCTTTTTCAATTTTCGCCACTTTCATTGCATCGTAACTCACTTATCTCAATATTTTTCTCGGCTTATATGCTCTGTCTTTGCATTTCTAAAATTCTGCAGCCCCCTGTGACACGACAAAAATACATGCACGTGTTGCTTTTAAGCTTAAATTATTTGCCAAAACTTTTACGTGGACGATTAATTCAAAGAGCAGAGTCGAAAAGAGAAAGCGTCAGCTAAGTTATCGCTGAATAGCTAAAGTTGCGGACAGGTTGCGCGCCGACGAGAGGTGTTCACGTATGCAGGGCGGAACCACAGCAAACGTGTTGCGCGCAGCATCAATTAGCGTGCTTCGCTTTCTCTCTCTGTCTCTCTGTCTGTCTCTCTCTCTCTCTCTCTCTCTCTCTCTCTCTCTCTCTCTCTCTTCCACGCGCGCGCGCACGCACATGCGCGCTATTATTTCATTATTCGGATCAGAGGAAATCGTTGATTGAACGTGCTCTGCGTCGCGTCATGTGTAAGATCGAAGTGATCATACAGCGTAAGAGTTGTACTGCGAACGGTTTTTCTTCTCGAATCGTAGATAAAAAGAGAAAGGAGACGTCGATAACAAATCTATTTTAAACGTCTCTCGGACAATATGCGTTGCTATGGGACTGTCTGAAAAATTCTATTAAGATTCATGTAGCTCGATACGAAAACTCGTCTCTCTCTACGTCAATGCGCACGCTCGTCGACGACAAACGTCTGAACGATGGAGCTCACATATACACGCATACACACACGACGATATACGTCAAATTCGAACAACAACAGCAGGTCGACGCGATTTTACTCGTGAGCGAATTGAAAGTCACTCTCCCCTTGTCAGCGTGTATATATATACCATGTATGCGTGTATATTCAAATCTTATTTTCTCCCTCGGAGAAATGGAGCTCTCATTCACGCGAATCTCTCTTGCTCTCTACGCTTGACATTCGGAAGTTTCCTCTCTCATCGATCGCCAGAGATGGCTTCTCAGACCGAGTGCCGAGTCGCTTATTTTGTGGCTTTTTCTGAAAGAGGAAATAGCTGAATGCAAACTCTGTGGAAGCTCAAAGTTAGGAAAATGTGAACGTTGTCAATTAAAAAATTATTATGTATATCTATTGTGCTTCCCGAAATTTCTTTTAAGTAATCGCGTCTCTAAAGACGTCCAACCAAAAACCAAGTCTTACTACTTGAAGCTGAAACGTTCAATTTTGAGCGATCTCATTCAATTCCAGCTCGTCCTTACGTTGAAATATGGCAATCTGGCAGTATGATTCCCGTATAGAAAAGAATGGGGTGTAAGAAGAAAATCAGCGAGGAGCATAAAGCAGATAAAGCATTGGAGGTCAAAAAAATGTAGAGAGCGTACGAGTTGATTCGGCAAACGCGGGTTATGTGCGGCTTGCGAGAGCGAGAGAAAAATGGAGGAAAAAGCTTAAGCGGACAGCGAGTCGTCAGTCTGCGAAGGAGATAGGAATCGAAGGAAAATACACATATAGGCGAGAGCATAGGGTAGTGGTAGTGAGCGAAAGGAAGAAGAGCAGAGATGGCGAGCGAGCAACGTTACATTTCAATATTTCAAAATCCTCCCTCGAGCTCTCGCTCTCGTCGCATTTTCTATCCGCCTTGAGAAAACTGCGGGCGTAATGCGAGTGACAATTGGAGCGTGCGCGACTCGGGATTTTCATAATGGAATGGAAAGTGAGCGGCTTCCGTAACCACGCGCGCTGCTCGACGGATTACCAAGCCGCACTCGCTCGTTATCGTGCCAATCCGGTAAACGCGAATAGCCAAACTAAAATGCTTTCCAAGTTGTGCATGCAATGAACTTTGTTCGGAACAAAGTGTCAAAAAGGCGGACGCACGCACACTGCCGCGCACATGTCGATAAATTAATTGCACGGCGAAATTCGAGATTTTAATGACCCTCCATTTCCTTCGTTCAACTCGCGCACATGGATTCAAGTTGAAAGGTTTATTGCTGTGCGCGTACTCTACGAGACGAAACTATTTCCATAGGTTGCCAGTCGAAACTATTTGACCCACAACGAGCGCTGCAGCTGCGAGAAATTTTCGAGAGAGCCCCGAATTGCTCAGAGGTAAAAGTTGGCTACCTTCCCTCGCGACTCGGCTTCCGTGGCCCCTCTAGCAACCTCCGACGTTGAAATGCGAGTAATCGTGCGCGAGCGCCCGCGAGATGCGCTCTTGAACTTCGGTCATCGGTTCCGCACACGTAACTTCGCCACCGCGACGTTGGTGTTCGAGGCTCCTTTGAGATCAAAGCTCCTTTTGCTCACTCCCAAAGTTCTGCCGTCTTGTGTTCTTCCGACGCCGCCACAACTGCTTTGCAGTGCGTTTGAGGATCCCGTGACTCGTATTTGGACGAGTAAGGAATTGACTGGTCCCTAACGTTGTTTAACTTTCCATTTGAAAATCAGGTTTATGGTGATCGATTTATTTTAATTATATGATGGTTCAAATAAAAGAGAATATTTTCTGACATAGCGAAAATCAGGCAAATAACATCGAAATGGAAATCTCCAGATGCTGCTGGCAATCAATTCGGAAGTAATGCATCAAAAGAGCAGCAGCGTACTAGTAGCGTTGAGTATTGAAGTCGAACGAATAAATCCACTTGAAAGTTTGAACGACTGTAGCACAGAGAGAATTTCACAGATCTCAATAGGTTCAAGTCAGTCAAGTAAGACTAGAGCTCCTCGACTATAATGCAACAAAGAGCTCGTAAATTGCACGAGAGAGCAGAGAGCAGTAGCATTGGGCACACCAGTTGAATTCGCAATTACAGAAGTTGAGTGATCGCACGCGCCTGTGTACGATCGAAGAGGGCGCGCGAGCGGTCGAGCATGAAACAGCCTCAGGAAGAGGGATATATATATATATATATATATATATATATATATATATATATATATATATATATATATATATATAGATGCAGATGAATAATCGCACGGCTGAACGGTCAGGCTATCGGATCATCCGTTCCGGTCAAAGCTTTGAGCTGCGAACGCTCGATATAGCTTCTTCTTCTTCTTCTCCCCCCCCCCCCCCCCACCCGTCCGCCTTGTTACCGTGAAATCAAGTTGGCGCTTGCGTGGTTTATGACCTACGTCTTGCCTTTGCTCAGCCAAGCTTAAATAATCACCTCTACGATACGCGCACTAGCCAAGCGGATCCTATTCTATATATTGATACTTTCAGCGAGTGTCGTCGTCGTTGGTTGATTGAATTGAAGGTGACGACTGATCGCACCAATGTACGGAAATTAGTTGAATACTCATGGGTCGAACATAACTGTGATTATTGTTCTTTTGGTCTACTTTCTTTGTCGCGCTTTACTAACGAGAACCTTTTTCCCCTACTTTTTCCATTCAAGGTGACACGAAACAAATTAGACTGGCTATTCTTCATGCTTTTTATAGGAATCTATCAACCGTCTGTCGGGGTGACCCTTAACAAAGTCACAATAGCCAGCAAAAACTATAGCGAGCACCTTGCTAATCGATACGCGCGAAAAGAGGAGAGAACAGATTTACACACACAAACACACACACGTACACACAGCTGCTCCTAAAAATGGTGTAGATCCCTTTACGAGTGATTAACAATAAATTTGATTCATTACTCTGTTGTGAATGTTGATCCATATAACATTTTCGAAAAGGGATAACAATATATAAAACTGAAAAACTCACCTCTGTGCCTGTTGGTTTGCTTGTCGAACATCAGCATGGCATCCTCGATCTGAAAACAGAAAACAAAAAGCATGAAAATACAAAGAAAGAAAGAATCGTAAACATGATGGAGAGAGAGAGAGAGAGAGAAATAGAGAGTAAAATGCTCGAGCAAAACGTTTTCAAAAGGCTAATCCAATGTTTATAAATAAGCGACAGATGTGAGGATATGTAAAGGGCAGAATCGTGTCGAGCATTCGTAATCACGGCGCGGAGAAGCCGTTTATTCGGATTTGGCCGGAAAGTCGACACGAGCTTGCGCTCTCATACATACCAGGTATGCGCACACTCCCTTTCCCATCCTTAAAGCTACGAAAAATCGTAAATACGCGGGGGTGAATTTCAAGCGGGCAATAAGTGGAGAAGGGGGGAGAGAAGCGCTTGTGTAAAATCGCTTCGCACAAATCGAATGATTCCCGAAGGAGAAAATCTTAAAGGCTGTCCTTCGTATTTCAATTCTCTCTCCCCGCTACTACTACTACTACTACTCACAGAATGTAAGTGCACAAGAAAGATGTAGGGACGGCGGGAGGGTTGTAAAAACTAACTGACTGTGTCGGCTCTTCTGATACTATTGCCCGTCTCACTCGGCAGCTAGCGCGCGCTCTCTCTTGAACTTGCAAATTAAAAGGCCTTGTACATTTCCCTAAGGGCGCGCACCGCTACACTCCCCCCAATGCTAATACAATTATCTCGCGAGTGCGTCGTAACGCCACCTGATAAATTCTCTGTATTAACATCCCTCCGGGCGACCCATATCCGCATCACGGCGCCTCTATCAAGCCCGCAGTATTAAGCATTGCCAATACTTTTTTCTCCATCAAGTGCCGAACTAGATTCCGCAACGGGACACGTGTGAGCTTCTATTTAATGCTTGATCGATAAAGGTGGCTTGCTCACCGGACCAACAATAACTTCAATGCGCAATTGTTTTTCCCGAATTCGAAAAGTTTCTCTCGTAACAACTTATCACGAGGAAAAATGTAACGAGATACAGCGAAAAGTGTAAATCTCACGTTATCATCAAAAGTTCGCAAACTTACGAAAAAGGTGGAAACTCATGCGCCCGACATCATTACTCGCGTAAAAGTAAACGGTTGAAAAAGTATCTCGGCCGCGCGGCCGCACGAGAGAACTCGAGCAATTATTTCCATGAGTCGGAGCCAAAAAGGAGCAGACGAGACATAAAGAAAGGAGCTGCCATTAGACGAAAAAACAGAGAGATAGGGCGCCTGCAAAGTGTATTATACACGCGATTCGTCTATACGTTTTGCTGCTCACAGGTGGTACGAGAGAAAGCGTGTGTATAAATCGGGGCCAACGTCAGGGAGCACCGGGCAAGTACAGATCTCTCAGGAGGGATCTAATTCCATCGCTAAATGGGCGAAAAGAAGAAAAAAATGCCAAATGTAGAGCACACACCTGGGCCAAAATGTACAAATGAGTCGAAAGTGAGGGCTATTGTGGGAGAAGACCTTACTTGGATTTACGAGTTGAGGGAAACGATCAGCATTACTTACTCCGATTGTTACTCTTTTTCGAAAATTCAGAAGCTGGAATTATTTCTGGAAAGACATCCTGATTTTTCACGATGTTTATCATTTCTGTTATATAGACAATTTTATCATGTTTATTGAGTGCTCATAAATACGTTATGATCCCTCCAAGTATTGTAAAATTTCCAAATTGCGATGAACTTTAGAGAAAATGTATCCTTAGAGTCACAAAGTCTCAAGAGTTTAAAGCTGGCGAAGCTCCCGTAGCCTGGGTTTGTTTGGATATCGTTAACTGTACTTCAGACAAGTAGCATAAAAGAAAAAGGAAAGTTTATTGACACTCTCGAGACGTCATTTTGGAGAGCGACAAAGCACACGAAACCGTCTCTCTCAAAATTCAACTATTTGTTCTTCTAATATCCTTTATTCGTGTATACAATAATAATCTCATTACTATCACGCATGGCGGATCAAAACAATAATTAAAGTTATGCTCGCTGATGAGAAACTGGAGCTAACGAGCTTCATGAAAATATCAACTGTAAATGAAAAAAAAAAAAAAAAAAAAAAAAACGAGCGTTTATTTCGACGATCATTGCTTTTAATGAGAGAGGTAACAACAATGTGCAATGCACTGAGGCGACGCAGCGCGACGCGATGTCTCGTCATCATCCACAGAGCAAGAGTTTCCCTCTCGCAGTTAAATCAAAGTTTGAAGCGTTTGTTTGATCCGAATACCGTCGTAAACGAGAGAGTGCGAGAGAGATGTACATTCCAACTACTAGCGATAAAGTAGGCCGTCGACTGTAAAGATACGGCGCTCGGCACAAAGGACAGCACTGAGCTTTACGGCAGCAGACTTCTTCCGATGCACCGAGTTCTCTCATCAGCGTCGACTAATTCTCACGGCTCTCTCTCTATTTCTTTCTCTCTCTACGCCCTTCTAAAGTTACTTTTCATCCCCGAACTTTCGACGCAACGCATACGAGTGTCAAATATTTGCGCGACTCCTTGCTGTGCCTAATAAATCTGAAAAGTTATATTGACTTCTACGGGGGGATGTATTAGTCATCGCGTGTAAATCTTAATACTTTACGAGGGGGGCAGGAAAAAAAGAACGAGTCGGGAGTCGAACGTAGGATAGAAAATAAAATCGCGACATATTTTTCTTGCACGTCTACGTTCTTTAGTTTATTTTTCGAATTCGCGCGCTTGGCGCCGGAGGTATTCACTGGGGAACAATGAACGTCGAGCTGCGCACGCGGGCGTACATCTACACACTCTCATACGCACACGTATACGCTCGAGCACATCGCGTATGTACCTTATTACAAGTTCGATTTCCACAGCGTTGTGACTCTCCGTGGACTTGGCCAGTAGATTGGCTCTGTCTTGCTCTCTCGCATAAGTTTTAAATCGCTTTACCAGCTTGAATATCCATCAGTACGTTGATCTCGTACGTTTCGTCTTCTCAAGACTTGCGTCGGATCAATGTAAAATAGCCTCGGATTTTCGAAAGAGTAAAATATACAGCGAGAATGTGCTACAACCAGATGGCGCTTTGTAAATTAGCTGGAAATTGAAATTCAGTAAGGATAAACATGGCTGAGTCATAGCGCATTTTCATGCGTACACTCTTCTTTCGAGCATTTTAATAAAAAAAAAAGCCTGATATGGCCCGCGCGAAATCACTCTCATAAATCCACAGCTATATACATTGCTCGCGCACGCTCGGCTCTCGTATAAAAAAGAAAATGACGAGGCTTACCCTTCGGCATCTTGAGTATCGTTGGTCCGACTAATTTGAAAGCGCGACGTACTGAAGGCAACTGGGTCACGGCTTCACTTTTCAAAGCGCGCTTGGTAGATAAAAAAAAGGCGACCAGTACGGCTTTTCGAGGGGGTCACGCTACCCTCTTCCTCTGGCTGAAATGCTTTCGAGATTGCGCCTTATTATCGCGGAGAGGGATCGAAAACTACTCGTACACTTTTCTGTATGTATATGTATCGAGAAATATTTTGCCTTTGGAAGTACATTTGCAGCTTGTTAAAAACAAAACGCGATATTAATTGGCAAAGTAGAGTATAGCAGCAGAGAAAGATCTCGGTGTCGCTACTAGCAGCAGCATACTGCGCTTTAATTGTTTACGTTATCGGTTTTCGCCTCGAAACAGTGTATTGCAGCAGCAGCAGCAGCCGATTGTTACTAACTGTGAGCTCTGGGCCGGTGAAAATTATAAAGGCAGAGCAGGTACAATGAATGAAAGACCGAGGGAGAGGGAGAGCAGGTCCTTTAATTGGGGGTAAATGCGCGCGACGCTAATTCGCTGAATAGTGGCATTGTGCGCAGCCGGTGTAAATCCGGCAATATTGTGTGGGCCGCGAACCGACAAGAAAAGTCGAACCGCAAGATTGTTTTGCGCGAAAATTGCTTAGCGGTTTTCTTCGCTGCCGCGGCTCGATGCTCAACACAATCACTTTAATTACGCACCAATGATTACAAAATCATCGACCGAATCATTCCTACAAAGCTATTGGCCGCCTTTTTCTCGGAATTGATTGCAGGATTCAGTACTATTCCATTTCCTTTCTTTATTCCAAGAATCATAATTTTTACGCTTGAATATAAGACTAAGCATAGAGAGCTGTATGGATTCTAGTTTATTTTCAGTGCGCAGTGGAATAATTTATTTGCTGGATTCGAATTTCAACGCTACCATTTGAAATTGAGTTCACTTGTAGAAATAAATTCAGCAAAATAGGAACGGAAAGTAAGCGTACGCTCGCTCCTCCCTCTCGTAAAGGTACAAAGGAAAAAAAGAGAAGAAAGCTACCCTCTTGAAAAGAAAGAGAAGGAGGTCCGGTGAAAGCATCCCCTTGTGTTCGAAGTTACGTTTCAGATGAAATTCATGTATTCACCTATCTCTTTTTCTCCGTTTATTTATTGCTTCGTTTTTGCCTACGTCCGACCTGCATGATCTATGTAAAGAAGTATCGTTAAATTTAGTAAGCCAACATACACGCACAGTTATGAACAAAAATATAACTCCCAAACATTTTCAATACGTTCGCATTCCCAATGAATACCAATGACATATCCAATGGACGCAGAGAATACTCCGCGGAATTGTTGCGTTCAGTGTAAAATAAATATTTGACTATGCGCATCGTGTTGCGAATTACATATACCTTTTCGACTTGCGTGTTCTGCAGACTGAATAAAGATAATAGATAAGGCTGCTTTTATGAAACAAAACTCGTAAATTTTTAATACAATTGAGTTTATCACTTTATTTTTTCATTCATTTTAATGAAATGTTTTATTACTTCGTTAAAAATGAAAATAGAAAAGAAATTTTACGATTGACTTTTTAACTATTTTTTATTCGACTTTTTTTTATAGTTTTTTAACTCACTTTAAATTATCTAAGTAATAGATTAGTGCAAAAATGAATAATTTTTTTAATACCCTGCTGACTCTGCATGTCTCTGTAAGGAAAGCAATGTAATAGAAATTCGATACTTCAACAGCACACAGCTATAAAATTTACGTTGCAACTTGAACCTCCTATCTACTATTTGAAGAACCTTTCGATAAGGTAAAGTATTCTTCAAAGCCTTTAACTTTAGAGTCTCGTTTATAACTCTACGACCCGTCATACTTTGACTTCACCCATAGATCCTTTCAATCTAAGGTTGTCAAACAAAGTGTCGAAAATTCACGAGCAATACTTTCTAAGATGAAGCGCTTGCACGCATAGGCACTAAAGAACTGAATCTAGTGGAAGTTTGTATTTGGTAAGAA